ACAGCTCAGGTCACTGGTCAGACTGGGAGAAGCCAGCCTAGGTCACTTGGTCAGACTGGGAGAACACAGCTCAGGTCATTGGATAGACTGGGAGAGCCCAGCTCAGGACATTGGTCAAATTAGGAGAGCACAGCCCAGCCCAGGTCAAGTCACTGGCCAGGCTGGAAGTGACCAGTCGGTTTGGGTGCTCCTGATCCGCCAGGGAGACGGTCCCCCCAGGGCACGGTGGGAGCAGGGACGGGATTGGACCGTGGCTAGCCAGGAGGAGGTCGAGGCTGCCTGCGGGCGGGCGGTGGTGGGAGGTCCTGGCTGGGAGCCCGGGCTGGAGGGGGGGGTACTTTGGGGGCCGCGGAGGAAAGTGCTGGGGGGGGAGAGGCTAGGGGCGGGGCCTGGGGGCGGAGCCTCCCGCTCGGGCTCTCGAAGCTACGTCCCCAGCGAGAGAGAGAGTCCGAGGAGCCAGCGGTGCCTTTGGCCCAGACGCCGCCTCCCCTGCAGCCCGCGGCATCATGGAGCCCCCGGGCCCGGGCCGGGCCTCCAGCCCCAGTACCCTCCCCGGCCCCGGCCAGGCCCCGCACCTCCTGCTCCTGGCGCTGCTGCTCGGGGGAGCCCCAGGTAGGGGACCAGGCAACCCAAGGCGCGGAGCGGCAGCTGGGGGATGTCTTGGAGGGGGGCGTGGGGCTTGCATGGAGAGCAATCGGAGGAGGGGGCCCCCTGGGGAGTGCTTTAGGAGGGCTTAGGGAGACCTCCGGGGATCCCAAGAGAGGGGGGTATGTGCAGGACATAAGGGGGTCCATTCCCCAGTACGTAGCTGGGGAGAGCTGGGGCAAGCCCGTAGGACAGGCGGCGATCTCGGGGTGGGGACTGAGAGGAGAGGGTGGGGGTAGCGCCTGGGCTGACTGGAAAGAACTCGTAGGTTACCCCACCCCCACCCCCGCCCCGGGAAGGATCAAGGGTGCGGGCTGGAGGGAGAGTCCCGAGAGGGATCGAAAGCGAAGGAGTGGAACCGGAAAGCGTGCAGGGAGCCCCTCTAGCAGGTGCCGCCCGGAACACTAGGCAGCTCAACCGGGTGGAGGCTGGGCAGGTTATGAGATTATCTGGAAAGGAGAGAGCGATTCTCTGCGACCTGGAGAGGGACGGGGAAAAGTTGGAGACTCTCTCATCCCCCTCCCCTTCTCTCCCCACTTCCTGGTCCCGTCCCACCCCCACACATACACACCTGGAGGGCGGATCGGGGAGAGACCCAGAGACCCTGGGACGAGAGGGAGATGGTAAGATGGATGCAGCGGAAGGGAAATCAGAGAGAGACAGAGACACTCTGACACATTACAGAGAGGAAACAGAAGAGAGAGGTATGGTGGGCATAGTCGAGACAGAAAGAGCACCTCTTGGGAGAAAGTAGAAACAGAAGGGGGGGACAGAGGCAGAGGGATACAAGAGAGAGCCATGGCGTGGACAGAGAGAGAGCTATTGGGGGGGAGGGAGACAGAGAGAGACAAGAGAGAGAGAGCCATGGGGGGG